TCTGTGACCTCTGGACGATGCGGGAACATGTGATGTGGCAGCAGGACAGGGGACCTGCGTGGACAGCGTCTCCGTCCCCTGAGAGCTTTAAACGGCCGACACCACGGAGGCAAGCGGCCGTGAAGGAGACGGGCTGCGAGCCGACCTTTCACCTCTCTGCGTGTCGAGCCGGGACCGTGGCATCGTCTCCAAACCGAGCCGCCATGCATTGGCGTGACATCATCAGGGACTGACTGACTGAATTCAGAAAGTTTTTCCCTTCTGAACACTTTCACACTTCATTAACAAACACCTCTAGGCGAAATCTGTGCAGGATGTCTGACTCTTCTTGAAAAAAGAAGTCATCCAATTATCTAGCAGTAATGCAGAACTGTACTTATTTATTAGCTTCATTCTTTTACAGTCTAATATGAATATATAGACAAAAGTTTTGAATGAAAAATAGTTGGAAGATAAACATCCTATATATTCTACCCCTTCTCTCTAAGTAACTAATTAGTGATTTAAATCATGATCAAAAAGTAGATTTTTAAGTGAAAATGTTACTTTAGATAAAACTGACTGGTTATTCAGGGCTGTGTTTATATAGCAAGAGACCAGACTTAAAAATATTGAAAAATGACAAATGATTTCATGCCTCAGTAACAAACAGCTTAGAGCGTTCATGAAAGAAATAAACAGGACACCCAAATATCAACCATTAATATTTAATTCATTTACAGTTTAATATGAACATGTATGTTGATGTAAACTAAAGTTTTGAGTGAAAAGGAGAAGTTCCAAAAAAAGGACCTTAAATTATTACTAGAAATGTATTTTTAAACAATGTTTTTATCAGACAGTTCTGATGAATAATCAGAACTGTCTGATTATTCATGGCTACATTTTGAACAGAGGTAAAAATGTTGAACGCTTTCATGCTTCATTAATAAACACCTGTGAGCGTAATCTGTGCAAACATGAAAAAATAAACCGGAGCACTCAAATATGAAGCAGCATAAAGAATTTATTTCCTTCATTTACAATTTAAAATGAACATGTTGATTTAAACAAAAGTTTTGAATTAAAATTAGAAGAAGTCCTATACAGTTTACCCCTTTGCTCAAAAATCTATTTGTTTCACCATAAACAACTAAGCATTGCTGACTTAAATTATGATTTTTCTAAAATATATTTATTTTGGATATAACTTTCTCATAATTCAGGGCTGTATTTACATAGCAAGAAAAATACATTGTTGGTAAAATGGAGACCAGAGGTAAAAATATTGCAACATAACATTTTAAAACAAATTTTTGACTGTAATTTGAAATTGGATAATTTGTAATAATAAAATGAAAAACACTTGAACTTATGTTTTAGGACCTCAGATTTTCTGCTTGGACTTTGCAAAACTCAGCAAAAAATTATATAACAACAAATATAATATGTATTCCTGTCAAAATTCCCCCAGACATACCTTAGGAATAACTCGAATTTTAAGCAGCAGAAATACATACAGCCTTTGCCCTCAGTCCATGTATTTTTAATTATGTTTTGTGTGGTGATTTGTATGTGTGCTACTCACATTCATTTCCTGTTTCTACAAAACTAAAAAATAAATAAAAAAATTCCCAGACAGACATAAAGTTTTCCCCAACACAAACTCCAGACTTTACATAAAATCCGGATTCATGCGTCGCATAAAGAAGCGACGACTTCGGGCAACAGCAACATGAAACTTTTAAAAAGTTTGAGCTGCGATCTCGTTCACAGCTGATAAAACCCCGCTGAATGTTAAAGGAAATCAAATCTGACTGAGAATCACTGTTCGCCACAAACAAACCAGGAGAATGAATTGTATCTGACAGTGTTCGTTCATGATATGGAAGTAATTCACTTCTCAATAGGCGCCCAAGTTTTCCACTAAAGCATAGTGTGCTCGAGTGGAGAAGCTCAATGGAGTTTAATGAGTGATTTTCAGTAAGTATGTGGGCCAACAGGCTGACGGAGACGCCATTGTCTTTATTTCTGAGGATTCTGTCATCGGATCTGTATCAAGGTGGACGACGAGTTGGCTGCAGCGCCAGGCTGCTATGTAGGTTAGCGCCACAAAAGCTCTTTAATCCAGAGTGGAAATAAATAAATAAAAGTGTTTGGGGAGAGGTGAGTGCTCGGTCAGCTTGTCTGCACAGCGCCCCCAACACACACACACACACACACACTCTGCTTTGGTTGTGTCATAACCGAGTGCCGCCATTAGGCCTCTGCTGATTTTAATGTGGAGCGAGTGTGCCGTCTACCGAACAAACCGGGCGCCGGCGAGAAGCCGCGAGCCGAACCGCCTCCTGATACCCGCAAATTTAAAAAGTAGAAACACAAACGTGGGTCCGATCTGCCGACCCCGGGACCAACGCATCACAAAGGTCACGGTAAATGTCTGAACAGCTGCAAAAAACAGAAAAATTACAGGAAAATGTATCAAGTTTGAATCTAGGCCACATGCTAGAGCACATTAATAATTAATGAGACTCATGAAACAAACAGTTCTGCTAAAGGAAGAACTAAGTAAAAAAGATCTGCTCTTTTTTACTTAAAATACTTTACTGTGAAAACATAAATGTTATTTTATATTTTATAGAAAAGCAGATGTGCACTAATAAAGTTTATTGCAAACGACTGAAATACCAGTCATGATACATTTCATTTCTATATACACACATAATTGCTTTTAGTTATCAGTTTTGTTTAATTTGAACATGATGGATTTAATTCAGTTGTGTTTTTATTTTTGTTTTAAAACAAAAAAGATAAAATGTAAATTTTGAAGATTTTAGGTGTATTTCATCTGTGCTGAATGTTTTTTTTTTTTCAATATTCTGTATTTGATCTTCTGTGGCTTGTTGCTGTGTAACTCAGGTATATTTAAATAATAAAAATGCCTTTCTTCTTCTTGATTTTTAATTTTTTTTAACAAATTTCAAAGTTCGCCCGGCAGAAAAATCAGAGCTGACAGTTTTGCAAATCACAGCATACATAACCTAAGCTGGCGCCGCTCGTTTTACTCCACATTCCACGCCGCTCAGCAGCCATGCTTCTCCATGACCTGCTCTTTCTCCACAATGACAGTTTGGAGCCAAATGCCAAAGGTGGATTTTTAAAGGTGTCCACCTGTAGAATCTCTGGTCTAGTCCAAACACGGCGCAGGGCCAGAGCCGTCGTTGGTATGGCGAACGAGGCCGGGAAAGCACCGGAGTCAGAGAACGTCCTGCTGGGGAAAACGCAGAGCAGCTGTCTGCCGGCTGAAATGCAACACGCCGCCCTCTGAGTGCTTTACCTTCTCTGGTCCCCAGAACCCGCGGCAGAGAAACATCCACAGGTGGATTTGATTTGTGCGATCGTTGCTCCTCTGCCGCCGCGTTCAGCACAACTTTGTCTGTGACCTCATGGCGACTCAACACTCCAACACCGAAGGACAAACTCAGAGTTTAGAGATGGGGAAGAATAAAAAACACAAATGTGCATTTTTCCTTCTCCATTTGAGTTTCTTTTTCTTCTGCCTTGAAGATAAATGTTTAATGCAAGGTGACATTCAAGTGCGCAGCGTGTCCACAAGCTGCATTTATAAATAAATGTAAGGTCAGAGCAGCATCAGGAAACAGTCTATAAAACTGCTGCAATAATTCATGAAGAAATGTTTAGTAAAGCAAAAATAAACATGCAATTCAGTTTCTCTTGTAGTCTATTATTTTTATTTAAGTTCTCGCAACATTTATAATTTATTAATATTTTATTTCTTTTTAAGTTGTTTATAAAGGAATGTATCGGTTTATGTTTTAAGAATATTGCTATTTAAAATTCCAGATTTTATTATTATTCAGGTTTACAGTTTATTATCTTCACATTTTATTCTAATAATTTCACATTTCTTATACGGTATTTCCTCACTAATCCACATGATTACATTTCTAAAGTTGCGTTTTCTCTACAGTTGATTTTTTTTCTCACTTTTGATTACGATCAATATTTACCTTATTTGTTCATTTAAATCATTTTATTATGTTTCTCTGTCTGATTTCTAACCTCTGTCTTGTGATCTTACATTTTTAAATATTTTTGTGACAGAAAATGAGCAGAGTTGGAATTGAATTTATTTTTGCCATTTCATTCCAAAATGTCAAAAACCCGAGAGAAAAAAATTACCTGAAAATTCTCAGAACGTTGATATTTATTTTATTTTATCCAATAGATTAAAAAATATTTTATTTTTGCTTGGATTTGAAAATACTTGTATGTCAATGTTAAGTTAATATTTTAGTGTCAAATTTGTGTAAAAAATATTTTGAAAACATAATTCAACGACGGTGCATGGATTTAACTTGTCAATTACAATTAATAACACTCTGAACTCATTTAAAATTCTCCTAAAGTATAAAAATATAAATACCTTGTGTTCATATTGGACATAAAATATAAGATAAAGCAAAGCTCACAAGTTAAAACAGAAAACACTCATTTGAAACTGCAACTAACCACAAATAAACTAATCTTTAAATTTAAACTTAATTTCATCATGTTATGAATATATATTCCCATTTTTTACTTTTAATTATGGATACATTTCTATACTGTTTTAGATGGATTTCTTTCATTTTTATTTTTCCACATTTGCTGTGGATATGTTTATTTTTCACTCTTGTTTTAATGCTAAGTTTAAAATCGCAGAAGATGCTCTAAACTAGATCTGAATAAAGCATCAGCAGTTTTACTTTGTGAAGTTATAATTTCAGAATTTGTCAAGGATTTTTGCCTGTTTTACAATGAGATGCTTAATAAACTGAGATGACTTGATAATGCGACTCTGTGCTGAAACACTGGACATGATTAGAGTTAACCAGTGAGGAGGAGCAGGACGTTTCCGATGCAGATAACATGCAAATTGTATCCAGGCTGTTTTGTAACGCTGCATTTCTATTTTTCACCTCTAATGACATTATTTGTCCTGTCTGTGCTCTTTACAGTGGGCTGCACCTCATGCTAATCCGAGTAAACAAGTCCGATCGCCCGCAGTGACCAGACTCGGCTTCACCTGGTTATATAACGGGAATACGACCATTCGGACTAAAACCAAAGAAAGTTGGACGTCTTTAGAGAGACGCTGGCCTACAGCTGAAGGGCCGCCGCTCTGCAGCACACGCTGCCCTACATACACTCTGACTGAACTTTCCTACCCAATGCTTGGTGCGTATTCCTCCAAATATAATAAAAAAATGAATCCAAGCTAATGGCCAGAGTTTATATTTTCCACGCTGTCTCTGCGCAGCTCTGCAGAAACACAATAGCATGCAATCATGTAGGTAGGGCTCCATTTGCCTGATGATAATTGCCAACCTTTGCTCATCAGGATGCTCGACTGGCTCACCCGCAGCACGGATCATGTTCTGCTGCTGACAAACATCTGACTTCTGACCTCAGCTTCTATCCGCCCTCTCATCTTCTTCTGGTGGTGACTAATGGTGAATCATAATGACGGTCTGCAAAAGGCTGAAATTTAAGCGTTAGAGCTCCGAATGTGTGTAACCGCGTATTCCCAAGGTTAAATAAAGTTTGGCTGAACTTCAAAGCAGTTCTGATGGTAACGTTAGCAACAAAAGGAAGAGAAAAATCTGTAGTTTGATCATTGAAAAATTATACATTTTATGTTTAGGTCACTCAAAACATAGTGTGGAGGTATGAGTGATCAGGAAGGAATCTGGAAAGTAATATTGCCACACATTTACACGTATTGTTTTGTGACGGTTCGAGAAACAACCGTGCTTCAGTATAAAGTATTCATGTATAAAATGCAATATCTCTTAAGATTATATGTAATTCTGAAGTTGCAGTGATGAGAAACAATCAGAGCTTTTTACGAGTCACTTCAGGTTCAATTGGTACTCTGCGTTTTTATGTCCTTTAAATAGAAAAAGTCGCATTTATGTATTCTGGAACGTCTTTAGCGACTTATCCAGCTGGATAGAGGAGCGGATAAACCGAGGGGAAAAAGACGAGGGACGGATTCCAAAGTTCACTGCAGAAAATAGGTCAGCCGGTGTTAATGTGCTTGAACTTTTGACCTGACGGGAGTGCAGCTAGTAGCTGAACAACAGACTCCTCCGACTGCTGGAACCAAACCACCGTCTCCTGATCCAGAATTAAAGATTCTGCTTTAATTTCAGGGAGGAAGTGGCGAAAAAGCAGCCGAGTCACGAGGACGCTAAAAGGAATCCACAAGAAGCTTGTAGGTATTTACTTTGTATTTTCAAAGCTAAATGTTCCATAATCTCTTTCAGATTTTCTGTCGTAACCCAGAGGTTTTTTTTCTCCCCCTTCGGTTGTTTGCGTCACGTCTTTACGCCGCCTCTGACCTCATTTCTGTCTGCAGCAAACCTCCATTTAACAGGGCAAGCGGCTGCTCTCTGCTGTGTACACAAGAAACAAGATGGCGGCGTACGGTACCTTACGTTCTGTTCGTCTCTTTCACTTTGCTTTGCTTTTCATTAAGGCCGCCAAGTTGCTGTTTCTGTGAGTTTTTAACTCCGCGCCTTTCTCCAGATCGTTGGACATTTCTCCGTAACATCATCGAAATGACGATAATGAAAACTCAACCGTTCTGCAAATGAAATAATTTGACAAAAATGAGCTCTGGTAGCGTGTTCCTCTCCTGTGTTTCTCTCGCTGTGATTTTTTTTGTCTTTTCCAGCCCCCTGTTCTCTGCAGCAGGGCTCATAATATCAGATTGCACAGCCGGTCTTCGCCAAATGTGAATTTTATACTCTAGTGAACACAGGCTTTACACTTTCATTAGCTCACATTCTCCTCAGCAGTGCAAATGCCATGTCGCTGGTTGGGGAGGGGGAGGGAGCGTTTTCACTGCGCCTCACATGGCGGCGCAGGACTGCAGGGCGGGACGGGGAAAGCATCCGGATCGGACGCTTTCCCCCCGGGGTACGGAGGCTGCATCCCAGCCGCTCAGAAAGGGACAGCTAATGCAGAATCTACCTCACTGAGCACATATGGACGATGTGCAAACGATGAAAGCAGAAATACCAAACTGTTGTTGTGACAGGATGAATTTCTATTCACAGATCGTGTGTGTGTCATGAACAAACTATATTAGTGCTGAGGATTTAATGCAGACCTTATTAATGGACTGATATTCTCCTTGGGACACGTTTACTTTTGAATGAAATGGTGAGGAATATTAGTAAACTATGAGGAAAATTAATGGAGTTTTAATGCAGTTACATATGAAATTTGAACAACGGGGATTCATATGTTTGATAATGTCCAAAACCTAAAGACACTAATTTAACACCAAGCGGTGTTTATTAAGTGTATTATGGGATGTTTAGTGGCTAAATGTTGCCTGGGGTTGAAAACAGATTGTTTCTATAGAATTAAAGGAATTTTTCCTCCTCGCTGGTTTTATGCTATTTTTTGTTTTTGTCACACTTCCATGTTTCAGATTATCAAACTAATGTTGAATCCAAAATGACCTGAGAACAGCAGACCTTCTGTAAGTTCAGTTTGGTAGTCACCTGTGGAATTAACTCCAAATTATATGTAGAAATGTTGCCAATTCATGGGGTTTTTTGTAAAATAAAAAAAGAAAATCCAGCTTTGGACTCGATGTTAAATTTACTGGCGTTTCCAAAGCAGCCAATCAGAAACCACCATTAATTCTTCTTGGCACTGATTGGCTGAATCCCAAAGAGTGAAGATCAGAAGACAGTCCATGTTAGCTTCTGCGTTAGAGGCAATACAGTTTCCACTGTGCATGTTGACACACATTAAGGTATATTTGGTGTATAAATGTATGTAGAGAAGCCTCAAGAGTTCATCTGGTGGTTTTCACAAAGCTGATTAACGGTAGACCTGAATCATCAAGCATTTCCTTGAGTAGCAGCTGTACAACAACATGAAGTAGGCAAACAGATATGAAAAAGGAACAAATCATACTCCAAGCTAAAGAATGTGGAGAACAGATGAGGAGTCCAGTGACATTTCAGTCTGGAAAAGGTTTCAAAGCCATTTCTAAGGTTTAGGAACTCCACTGAATGGAAGTGAGAGATGATATCTGCAAAGGAGACATTATTGAACTACGAGCAACAATTAATCCAGAATTCCTCCACAGCAAAGTTAAAGAATCATAAGTCGTGTTTCAACTACAAATATGTGCAAAACTTACACATATTAAGTAAGTTTAATACTTACTTAATAAGTAGTACTTACTTAATATTAAGTAATAATATTACTGAAGTTATACTAAAGTTATAAAAACACAATTTCAAAATTGCAGTGTTCTCGTTATACAAGTTATTAAAAACATACCACACCTTCATCGTCCTCAAACCACTTCCTGTCGTCGTCTTCATCATTTCCACCAGTAGTAACATCCGGTTGTTGATCATGTGACTCGATGTGAAAAAAGTCTTTCTGTAGCAGTTTTGTGAAATGCGCTGTTTTCAGTACAGCCGATAGACCGCCTCACAGCGCTAAAACATTTTAGAGATAAACATGAGTTTTTTTAAGCAAATTCATTTTTGTAAGTGCAATTTGTGCAGTTGTTTTACCATATAACAGTTGTGAGACCTTGATGTTGCTACCAAAAGCATCTGATGTTTACAATTCAGTTTTCAAACAGGTTAGTTTGGACAACTTTTTCTTCCCCAAATTTATAAAATCATCCTCTGAAAATAGCAGCTTGTGTTTCGTCAGGTGACTGATAATAAAACTGGTTTGATTTTATAAAAAAGCAAAAATAGAACCAATGTGAAGTGGACTTTTTTTACTTTACAGCAGTCAATATACCTGTCAATAATTAATCTAATAATTAAGGAACGTTTTCAAACTATTTTATTTTTTCTTTAAATGTGTCTGACTATGTCTTCTTAAAAGTTTTAGATTTGCTCGTGGCATCAAGCTCCATATTTCTAAATAATTTATTTGAAACTTGTTTTGCTAACTTAATACTAAAGATTGATGCACTTTTTGCATCTTAATAATTCATAATTTCATTTTTATGCTGCTGGAAAGACATTTGTAATGAATGTAAGGGAACATCTAATTACCGTCTGAATCCAGACACTCTCCCAGCCAACAGTGCTAATTAAATTGCACACTCACTTCTGTTTTGTATTTCTCATTCAGTCAGACGATTTGTTGAGGAACGGAGAACCTCCAGCTGCCAGAATTAAACTCTAACCAAGCAACTCATACTTTGCAATGTGTGACAAATCGTGCTCTGTACTGCTCCATGAAAAACAACTTATGAATGTATAATAAATATTAGATAAAGCTGTGGTCACTGAATCAGGACCAACATCTGAACCTTTCATTGACTAATCTTTATTTTAACCATAAGAAATGGAGGACAGCCCGCTATATTCCCACCTCTGTCTCATTTCTCCCTCATATTATATTATTAATATCAGTTATGTAAGGATTAATGTAACTACAAATCAACTTTTACCAATTAGTTTAATTTTAAGACCATTTCTTCACCAAAAGTTAGTCGTTATTACCCAAAGAGTTCCTGTTTATCAATTATTGTAAAATATCTAATTTAAGTTGCAGACTAAACTCTGAACCTTTAAGAAAATCTGCTGTGTTTTTTAGTTTCAGCTTCTATGCACCACAAATCTGGAACAAACATCCAAAAAAAACTGCAAAACAGCCGAAACACTGAGTTCATTTAGAAATGAAACCCTTCAATGTTCGTCTCAGGTCCAGTAGGCCGACTTCACCACAGACACATTCAGGTTTATAATGTAATAAATAACCGTAGCTCCCAATGAGAAGTTAGCAGCAGGTAATATTTGTAAAATTAAACATAGCTAAAATGGACAACATTAATAATAACACATACAAAACACTGCATATGATTAAATTTGCCAAGAAAAGGCAACAGAAAAAGGGGGCGGAGCTGACAGTCGGTGGTTACTATGGTAACCACCGACTGTTACCATGGTAACCACCAACTGCCAAGCGCAGCTAACAGAAACTTTGAACAAGTTTGGACAAACTTCATGCCTCGTTAAGATGAAACCGTGTTACAGATAAACGCTAAAGACAAAAAGCTAAAATCATTCGCAGTAGACTTCAGAGTAGTTTTAAAGAGAAGATTGTTGTGATAGAAATGAAAGCAGATGTTAAATCATTCTCAAAATGTTTGACAAAAACACGAGAATAGAAACTTTTCCTGTTTAATAATCTGTTCTGCCGTAAGTGTTTAATAGTGATTGATGGTTAAAAATGGGAACCGTTGATGTTTATTGTTTCACTTTAAGAACAAACCAATCTGTGTGGTTTGGTGGTCGATGTATAAATACCAGAGCAAAAAAGAAACAGTAATTTCTGATCAGTTTGAACAGTTTAGAGGAAAACCGTAAAGGATAAATCTGCCTTTTTCTGTGCCGGACTGAATGTTTGATTTAGAGAAATATTTACTATGTCCAGCTTTGCACATGCTGCTTTCAATCCCTGTCCAAGCAAGCCTAAAAAAATGAGAAAATTTAATTATCTTTACCTAATGAAGCAATGCAGATCCATCTGAAACAATTTCACTCATAGTTACACAGCTTATCTCAATCCTGACTGTGGAGAAACGGGACAGTAAAGCTTCGGCGTTTCTGCGTCGCCTCATTAAAACCCGCTTTGCCCTCTGGAATACTCTATTTTTTTGGCTCTATTTTCATATGTTTCCTGCCTAAATTGCTTACTTGTGTTAATGCATTGAAATGTAGTGATAATTACAAAAGTGAAGTTTGCGGATCATTGAATGGAGGAACGGCAGAGAGGAATGCAAATGGTTAGTGTCAGTGCTGCCCCAGAGAGATGAAAGCAAATGCTGGACGTGTCCGAAACCATTAGGGTAAGAGGCGCCGTTCGGCCCGAACCCCCCGCCTCCACCCAGCACCGCCCGGTCCGCTCCAGCAGACATGGACCACAGAAAATAGTGCCTTGCACAGAGCTGCCTTCAGTGAATTAACTTCCACACACTGAGAAAACACCAAATCCTACCAAGCATTTTTGGTCTAGTTTTTAGTGCAAATGTCTCAGCAGACTTGAAATATGTAAACTTTGTTTTAAGTCAAGAACTCCTTAATTTTGATGAAATAGTACCATTGGCAGGTAATTTTACTTTTGACATGGGGAAAACGTGAAATTATCTGCCAATGGAACTAGTATTTCTCACCAATATTACGGAGTTACTGGTTTAGAACGAGCCCTTGCGTGTTGCTGTGAAGTCGCCTCTGTCTTATTCCAAGTGAGCTAAGATATTTGCAGTGGAAATTGGCAGTATTGTGTGTTTTTGCGGCTGTGAGGAAATGCAACGTTGGGTATGTGTGTGACTTTTTGCACCGCCATGTTTCCAATTAGCCGCCCGCTGGACTGTGGCGGCGAGGGGATGATCTAACGAGATGGTGACATCTCCTGGGGGAGCCAGTGGCTGACGGCGTCGGGTTTTCATCGCTGACCTCTCCTGCATGCGAACACGCTTCGACAGGAAAACCTCCCGAACTCAGCGGAGAGGACGGGGAATGTTGTGACATGGGATGTTTGGGGACTGCTGGGGCGAGACGGATATTAGCCACTTCTTTGTTAAGGTTTGTGTCCTTCTGATTCTGTTGTTGTTCTTCGCTCGATGAAGTAGAAAGAGGAGCAGGTTCATGCAGAGGACAGCGGTTACAGATGTGGAGATGGAAACATCTTCAGGGCACAGGCTGACCCGTCACTGTCGCTTCCCTGGAGTGGATCCGATGAGTGAGTGAGTGAGTGAGTGAGTGCGGCCGTCCTTCTTTCTTCCAACTGAAACTTTCGTCTCTGCGCGTCACTGTGGGTTCCTCGGTCCTGGCCTCGCCGGGTCGGGCTTGGCCCCGCCCATTACGCCACCCCTCCCCACTGCCGCCCCGCCGCACACACAAACACAAACACAGAGTCCATTGTCAGCAGTGCCGAAAGCAGATTTGCTCTTTAAACTAATGGCCCGTTATGTGAAACAGACCTGATTACTGCCTGACAGAAGGAATTAAGGCCATCCAGCGCCAAACGAGCGCGCAGCATTCATGACCTGGCACAACCACTTAGAGCGAATTTTTATTTATCCTGGGCCTAGTAAACATGAATTCAGAGAAAAGAAACAATAAACTTGACTTTGGTGCTTTGTCATATCGATTCGACTTCTTCTAAAGGATCGGCTGTAATTTAACAAATTAAGAACGACAAACGGGGACGGGGGAAGACGGACGTTTTCCATAAAATTCAGCCCGTGAAACGCACAGGGGGATTTTATCTGCTTCCTCTGGTGATAACCTTCGTTTAAAACGAGGGCAAACCAAACATTTTAGCTTTTAACTTTAAATTATCTTCATCTAAGTAATGGGAAAGAGGAAAGTCTCCAGAAGGACACTTTAAT